AGAGAGAGAGAGAGAGAGAGAGAGAGAGAGAGAGAGAGCAGGAAACGGCATGATTTGTGGTCGCAGGGCTGTCTAGGTTACAATGCTATGGAACAAGATAAGACGACTTGGAGAGAGAGAGAGAGAGAGAGAGAGAGAGAGAGAGAGAGAGAGAGAGAGAGCACGGGAACTCCTAAATGGGGCGATTGGCATGACTCATTGCTCATAAAATAGAGCGAACATTGGTGAACTTCAGAACGGAGCGAACATGATCAAGAGTGTAGATCGTGCTGGCATGATGAATGATTCCGATTAATGTAAGAGCAAATGCACCGCAGACRAAGATTTGATCTACCAAAGGGCGGTGGTTTCAGAGGACTTGGTCGAAGAACAACAGGATTCCAGTTGGGACCGGTTTCAGGGAGCTATGTTAGGCTTCACTTATAATAGGATGTTTCATTTACATGTTCTGTTTGCAGTTGGGACCAGTTTACGCCGGCTGAGTGATTGCTCAGCATACATTGTTGGAGTCCCTTCTGCATAGATTGTTGGAGTTTCTTGAGAACTTAGTTAAGCATACTCGAGCTTCATGTAGTTTTGGGAAGTTTTGGACTGATGTAGAAGTGGATGGGACGCTGGACCCGCTTTCCAGCATTAGCCGAACCTGGGTAATGTCCCCAGCTCTACCGGGTTGAATTGTGAGGTCCCCGGCCTCAATCCATTTCTCCGGAATGCAAAAGTTACCAACTTTCAAAGAAAAAAAAAAAAAAAAGTTGATTTCACTGCAATTCCTTTTTTTCTATACAAATAAAACTAAGATATATTCTTCTCTCAATCTTACCTTTCACTATCTACCTACCACTACTCCTAAGCCTATACAGGGGACCCCTGCAAGCATAGCTACCTCTCACAATTAAGGGGATGCATGTTGCCCCCCGCCCTGAACGGCGGTAGTCAGGGAGTAGGTTGAGGCCGCCGGGGGGGGGAGCTAATGCGAAGACCGATGGGGGCAGGGGAAGTAGATTGGAGGCGCAACTACTGGCAAAATGCACTGCAATTCTAGAAAACATATTGTTTATACGGAATTTTAGTTTTCTTTGGGTCCCCACCGAAGTTGCCACCAATTTACTGAATATAACACCCAGGCGTTATAAACGAATATAGCACCAGGCGTTGTTTCACTGAATATAACGCCCAGGCGTTATAAACGAATGTAGTGCCTGGCATATACAATTGGTGGGTGTTATTTCCGGGTGAAGACGGTAGGGCTCAGCTGGTCGGGATGTTTCAGAATTATTCTTGCAAATTTACGAGGGGTGCATGGTTACGGAGGCTGCCTCTGGATGCTAATAAGTGGCTCTGAAGGTACTTGAGGAAGCAGTATAGAGAATAGTCGTGTGAGACCTCTCTCGCGACACAGTGAAGCAACAACTGCAAAAGGATGGAAGAGAATTATAGAATTGATTATGGAATCCCGTCTTTCATTTTACCATGGAGTTAGGTCAAGCCGAAGCAACAGTGAGCCATAGTTCTACAAAAGGATGGAAGACGATGACAGAATTCATTATGAAATCCCATTCCTTTTTTTTTTTTTTTTCCAATTAAAACGGGTCCTTATGGTCCTGGCTCCTTATCCATTCTGGGGAGCGTCAGTCCGGTTCCTTTCCACCGGCAAGTAAAAATTCGTGATACATGGTGAACACTCTCACGCTTCCTTCCGTCTGGCCGAAGGAACCCTGACCAGCATTGATTGCTCCCTAACCGGAGGATTGACTGTCAGCTTGCCCTGCCACTTTTCCTCTCAGAATCCATTGTGATTCTGTCGGCTGAATATAAAGCAAGAAAAGAGGAGAGTTGTCTACACTGTTGAGATGAAAATCTCAGTTTGCCCATCACTGGGTCACCGTCCTTATTGGAGTTGTGCTGTGTCATTTCTTCCAAATCAATCTCTTTTTTTTTTCTTTTTTTTTTCCCTGTACTTCCGGTCCTCCTTTTGTCGATTACCATACAGCTCCTTCAGTCCGGTCACCCAACAGGTACCCTCGTAATCTTCATGATTGTGTCTGGTGCCATTTCTTCCATCTCAGTCTGTTGTCCCTTATCGTTGCCACCTTGCCCTTTAGCACCCAGTTCCTTATGAACGTACGTTTCTTGGCTGCTTGTCCTTCTGCCTTGTTGGGTTCACTAATCTCTGCCATCTGCTCCTGATTTCCATCTCTGCCATGCTCAGCAGTAGTGACCACATTCCTTCCCTTGCCATCGCTATTCCCTCGATTGTCTGAGTACACCTGTGTTTCCGTATCACCCACAAAGCCAGCTTCCTGAGCAGGGTGAACCATACTTCCCTGCTGCCTGTGATGTTGCTGGGGATTAGTTAGGAGTAGGATAGTGATTGGGGGGGCGTTGGGGGGTGGCGAGGCGAACAGGATCGACCATAGCTCACAGATCTTATTCCATATCCAGGTTGCTTCTGGGCAGAAGAGGAGGCAGTGGGGGATGTCTTCGGGTGAGTCGTTGTTGCACATTGCGCAACGTTCAGAGCTGTCAGGATCAGAATGCTTCCTTCTCACGTGTAGCCACTGGTTGACTGGAAGGGCTGCATGTGCTATTAGCCATTGCATACTTCGGATTCTGATTGGTCTGATGAGAAGGTATTTGGTCCAAGTGATGGAGATGGGAGTCGTCGCATCTAGGTTCAGTATGGTTCTCCATTTCTCTGCTAGCCTTGGGTTTGGGTCTCTGGTTTGTAGCCCGCGGCTATATCCGAACTTAATGTCGTATTCTGTTATTGTCCTCGATTTGCCGGCCGCGCCTAGATCCCATATCCATTCCTTTGGGTCAACTTCCAACTCTTTGATGCTGAGTTCCGGCTGGAATATTAGCCAGGGTTTCTTGTGGGGTACTCTTACCTTCCTAAGGAGGTAGGTTTCTATTTGTTCGTGCTGTGGTGTATTATTTAGGA